CCATTTTCCACTGCTCTGAATGTCACAGTTTATTTCTTCCTTGGTCTTGGGATGGTAAAATGTTTGGTCACGTTCCTTGAGTCCTGAAAATTATTTTTTTCTAAGAGTCATGGGAGGAGGAAAGTTTCTCACCCTTAAGCATTCTTGTATGTTTAAAGTTATCCTCAGTGGTAACTGATTTACACAGGCTAATTGTATTTTTGTAGGGCATTGCAATCAAGAAACTATAGAAAAGAAGGGCTGGAAGCGACCTAGGAGGTCACTGAGCTCAACCCTGTGTTCAAGGCAGGATCATCACTATAAACCATCCTATACTAGTGTTTACCTAATCCACCTGTGCTCAACCCCTGGTCTGCAGGCCAGATCCAGACTACAGAGCCATGCTCCCTGGCCTGCAGAAGTCTCTTTGAGTCCAAAACTTTGGTAGCAGAGGGAGTGGTAACAGTAATTACCACTTCCCCACTGCCAAATTTCTGGACCTGTGACAGCATGCTAGATCTGTGTGCAGATGTGGCTTTGGGCCTTATCATGGGACACAGGAGCCAGCTGGAGCTGGTGTGGGGCTGAGGGAGGTGGCACAGTGCCTGATCTGGCCAGTGGACTGGCCCCAAGCCACTCATCCGGCCTGCACAAGCAAAAGGTGGAGCTTTGCTGGTCTAACATATTCTTAAAACTGCAGGAACAACCCCCTTGCACAAGTACCAGGCACAATGCCCCAGAACAGCAAGAATACTATATCTTGCCACAGGTAAGGCAGGGGGATAAGGACACTCTCAATGACCTATTGTTGCAAGGACAGGAAGTTATTTGTTAAAACAGGCTCAAGAGATCCAAGGAAGAGGATCATGTCCCCCTGCTATAGAAGGGAAAGTCCAAGCTAATCTGGCTGTGATATAAAAATCCTTCTTGATCCCAAATGTGTTGATCAGCCTGACCCTAAGTGAAGAGGCAAGACCCTCTAACCAGGAACTTCCAGGTATTTTAGCCCCAGTAGAAGCACTGGCACACCACAGTCAAAGTCCTCAGTTTTAGCTATAGCCAACACCCAAGGAAGGGAAAAATAAAAACTTGTATGCATCTATTGGCATGTCCATTATTTATTCCATGATTTAACAGCATAGTCAATGTTTGGAGCCTTGTTCCTCAGGTGCCCAATTCCCTGTAGAATACGCTTTCCACTGCTTGCATAATTCTTAGCTCACATTGGTATTTCATAGTTTCATAGTTTCTAGGGTCGGAAGGGAC